AGTACAGGCGCTGCAGAATTTGTGGGCTTTGCAAGCACGTCCGGAAGAATACTAGGGGCTCTACAGGCATGTGTGTGAATTCTTCGTGGCTGCGGGACACTACTTCTGCTTGTCGCCGCACTAGCTTGTACTGCACATCACCAAGTGATACTGCAGTGCTGGTATGTGAAACACCAGGAGGACTAGGCTGCTGGTGCTCCCCAGCTCACCACAAGGTAGAGCGGCACTAGTACTGAGACTCTACTGCATATGAGAGTCAACATGCGATTGTAACATCTCAGCAACCTGGGAATGGGGTCAGGTACACCTGATCTTAGCAGGGACCTCTTCTCCATTGTCTGAACTATCTGTCAGGGTGCCGATGCCAGTGCCTACAGGTTCGTATTCTGAGGCTGATTTTGTCAGGGAGACTTCTCCTTCGCTCTCACCTGTTCAGAATCCTGTAGGTCTCTTCACTAGAGTACCTTTCCAGTGACATTTTGGCCACTAAATTTATAGGTACCTAGTGCGACTCCCGGAAAAAAGAGCACCTGGCTGTCAAGGACTGCTTTAACCGCTACAAGAAAATTTACCGGCAAGTGCTAACAGGGATCAGGCCTAATTCTGTGAACACTGCGGTTTTGTGTGCAATGTACCAAGTGACAGTGATCTAATGGCACTGTACTTGCTGGGGGAGAAGGGGGGGGGGTCAGTGTAGGGGTTAAATGCAGGTGCTGGCATGTTCCGGGGCTGATCCTGCTAACGCTGTATTTTTGGGGACACTATACTAATGTGAACGCTGGTATAGTGCTGATATGATCAAAGATATTGATCCGTTCAGACACTATACTAGCAATAGAGGTTTATATTGTCTATGTGAGCGTGTTCCTGGCAATCAAGGGGTTCATTGTGATTACTGATGTACTGATGGGCAATCTGACACTATCTGGGAGGAGTGCTAACTGACGCTAATGCTATCTGAGGTCGCCGGCGACACTAATACAGTGATCAGCAAAAAACTGTACACTATACTAATGACACTGGTGACAGGGCAGTGAAGGGTTTAACGGGGGGGTGATCAAGGGGTTAAATGTGTCCTAAAGTGTTCTAACTGTGTGCAAGTGTGCTGCTTGTACTCACTGAGTCTTGATTCTTTTCTCTCTGGGTCAAAATGTGCCCAGAGAAGATGTCATCACTACCTGTATCTGTGTAACTGTAAACACAGATACAGGAAGATCGCTGATAGGACAGGGAATAATCAACCGACTTAGGCTGACCATCACTGGCCTAAATCGGATGATTGATAGGGATCAAATCATGGTACCTGCGGGTCAGCCCGCAAAAACCACGGGAGAGTGAATCACATACACACACACACACACACACTCATATATATATATATATATATATATATATATATATACACACACACACACATGATTTTGCGCGCCCGTGCCGCCCTGTAGCAGTATTTCTGCTGTAGGGCGGCATGGAAGCGGTTAAACTGCAAAATACAATTAAAATACATATGTGAATTGTTTTACTTGTTAAAAGGTAAGTGATGTGGTTTAGCCAGTCTGGTGATCTACACAGCCCAACTGCAGCCAGGAAATTGTTACTTTCCTGGTTCAGCTATGCAGCTTTGAGTGCTACATGCCTACTTTCAGTCTTTAGACAATGAATCAGCATGTTCAGTAATCAGGTAGGTGTCTTAGAAGTATGATCCAGAAATTGATTGATTCTGGCTATGCATTATGTCAGTGGTGTGAGATTCATGTGGCTAGCAAATCCTTTGCCAGATAAAACTGTTCACAAAGATGTGTTTGACTGTATTTAGCTTTTTGAGTGGCATTCAGCTTTAAAGCCCAACTGAACTTTCAGTTTAAATAAGCTAAATGAACTCAAGGTTCATCAAAATGAAAGGTGCTCTATTTATCACAGTTCATTTTCAGGGCTCAGTCGCACCATGTGCAGTGACCTGTCTTAATCTACACAGATCAACACAGGCTCACTGCTAGGGCACATAAAATAAATTGATTTCTAAGTGCCCTGTTCACAGTGCTTAAAAGTGGGTTGCAGTATGCTGGATAAAAATGCAGACATGCTCACCTAAAGTCACCATTAACCTCCCTAGCGGTATTCCCGAGTGTAGCTCGGGGTAAAATTTCAGTACCAAAAGCGGTAACCCCGAGCTACACTCGGGCTTACCATGCGGCGCTGCATAGGGATTCCCTGCAGAGCTTACCTTGTCCTTCACTCCCGCGATGTGTCCCCTGCAGCGTCCCCGGCCATCTCCGGCCAATGCCGGCATCCGGCTTCTGTGTTCCGGTCCCTGTGACGTCGGCGGGAAATTTTAAAATTTTTAAAAATTTCTAAACAAATTTTACATAGTAAACCATTGCTGTTTCAAACCATTTCACATACATTTTGTCCCTAGTGCTTTGTCCTGTCCCCGTCTGCATTTTTACTGTTCTTTCTGCCTGGAAACTTAGAAAAGTCCATAGCGTCCAAAAAGCGTCCCTTTAGGTCAAAAGCAGGTTTAGATCAGCTAGAGAACAGCAATAGTAAATCAGAACCACTTGCAGAATTGAGTGATAATGATTCGTGGGGGAAATTCGTCATCAGACACTGAAAACGATTTTGCGACTTTGCTCAGTGATGTGCAAACTCGGCACTATATTTCAAATTTCAGTGTTTTTGGTTTGATTATATTATTGAATTAAATGTATTATTATTATATTAGAATTTTTTATGAATATTTATTAAATTATAATTTATGATTTTGTGTTTCAAATTTTATCATACCCGGGATGTTTAATAGACTCTTGTTCGGACAGATTTCAGTAAGTTATTCCTAAAAATTACAGCCTACAATAAAAAAAAACTACATATTTCCATGCAAAATAATGGTACCGCTTTCAGCACCAAAAATCTGAAATAATCATACCGCCAGGGAGGTTAAGCTGGCCATAGATTGGTAAAATTTTGAACGATTCTTAGGGAAAGAATGCTCTAAGAAAGTTTGTTCTTCTTTCTAATTATTAGTTGGTCAAATTGCCGTTCATTTTTGCCCACGGTCAAAAGAAAACTCAAAGGAGCAGGACTGAAATTTTCTAACAGTGCATGTGGTTTTTAGTTTGGTACAGTTCATTTACCGCAAAATCAAATGTTAAAACCAAACAAAATCTTTCGAACAACATTCGAATGTTCTGAAAATTTTCATGCAAACTTTCCTATTGAAATTTTCCTAAAAACTTTTGTTTGAAATTCCATTCATGGCCAGCTTTAGTCACTGCATCAGAACTCCTCTGGGGTGCATAGAAATGAATGAACTGACATTTTAATTATGTAAAAAAAGGGAAACAGTGCCTTACACTATACCAATGAAAGCACCACCAGCCACTGCGCATGCACTCAAACATTGGCCTGCACACTAAAACAAGATGTGGGCTGGTGTGAGCAAACCCTAAAAAGCAGCCACAGCTTATGCCAGCATGCTGCAGAGAAGGACCCTTGCTCTCTCTGTAGAAGCAGTGGTCTCTCTGCAAACATCCAGCGCTGAGTCAGAGCTGGAGCTTTCCGATAGGCAAGGAGCAGGTAGCTGTATATCTTTAAATGCAATTTGTTTTTATGCATCAGTTAAACTGAAAATTCAATTGGGCTGTAAAAGCTGAAGTTTAGAGAATGTTTTTTTTAATCAGCACCAGGGACAGTACTTAATAAATGAAAAGTGTCCCTTTTGCTGGTGACTGCTGTGGAAGTCTTCAGTCCTCTGCCACCACAATACCCCCGCAGCTGTAATCTTCCACTGCTGCAGGATTTATACCAGCCACCCATCGCATGTGACCCACCCATGTGACAACATCTCCAGGGTCATGCCGGGTCAATGACGTCACACAGCGGCAGGGTCACACGCTTTATGTCACTGGGTGGCCCGTCCCTTACATATTTAAGAACTGTCAAGCTGGCGGAGCAGTAAGACGACCAGGAGCCAGCGTCAGGAGCTGAGACTTTTTTTTCTTTTTTCGGGTAGCGGCGTTGGCAGGCATCGTGATTGATGTTGGATTTACTTCGGGGGAAATTCTCTTATTTTCCTTCTTTTAATAAAGGACTTGTCAAAGACTGTCTCCTGTCTTTAAGGTTCTGATAAACCCCCCACCTGCAGACCCCCACAACCACAGCCCAGAGTTGTGGGGAAGAGGCCCTTGTCCCCATCAACATGGGGACAAGGTGCTTTGGGGAGGAGCTCCCCTGCCCCAAAGCAACCAGCCCCCAAGTTAAGGGCATGTGGCCTGGTATGGTTCAGGAGGGGGGGGGACTTATCCTGACCTGCCAGGCTACATGCTCAGATAAGGGTCTGGTATGGATTTTAGGGGGGACCCCATGCCATTTTGTTTTTAAATTTTGGCATGGGGGTTCCCCTCAAAATCCAAACCAGACCCGAAGGGCTTGGTATGGATGGAGAGGGGGACCCACACCCGTTTTTCTATTATTGTTTTAATTGTTTACATTCAGCTGTCAGTGGGGAACCCTGCTGACAGCTGATGACTCATAGGTTGTTAGGGACTCCACGGCCACCCATTCCTTAACAACCCATGACAGATACTAGTACATACCGCATGCCTGGACCACTACTTAATTATCACATGCATTTAATTATTTATTTCCTTTTGTGTATTGTCTTTAAGGTCTTTTTATGCTGTATTTATAGAGTGTTTTGCTATTTTTGGTAAATACAGCATACTAGCAATAGTGAATTGACATGTTCAGTATCGCATGCGATATGTGGTCATGTGACTTAACTCATGCGATAAGCTTTAGTGAATTGTGCCTATACTGCTACAGGGTGGCAAGGGTGCGCAAAATCACATATATATATGGCACATAATTTTGCATTTCCGGGTAGATGGCATGTGCAAGCCCTACCATCGCCACTATTCACGGCCTCGGCTGTCAACCACCGGGTCCCGGCCAGTGATTACTCACCGTCACCTGGTGATCAAGGAGCATTACCGACGGAGGGAGAGAACTTCAAGTAAACAATGCAGTTCTCTCCCCTGTCAGCTCCTGCACACTGCTATGCATGGCTTTGCACAGCAGAGCCATGCAAAGCAGTGTGCTTACAGTGAAACACACACACACAGCTTACAGTAAAACAGCACACAGTTAACCCCTTTGATCGCCCCAGATGTTAACCCCTTCCTGCCCAGTGCCATTAGTACAATGTCAGTGCTTTTTATTAGCACTGATCACTTCATTGGTGTCACTGGGGATGTCAGTGACACCAAGTCAGTTCCCCGCAGTGTCAGAATGCCCGCCGCAGTCCTGTAGTAAGTCGCTGATCGTCGCCATTACTAGTAAAAAAATTTAAAAAGCCCCAGTACATATACCACCATTTGTAAATGCTATAACTTTCAAGTAAACCAATTAATTTACACGTATTGGGATTTTTTTTTAGCAAAGACATGTAGCAGAATACATTTTGGCCTAGATTTATGACGAAATTAGATTTTTTTTTCATTTTTTTACTGGACATGTTTAATAGCAAAAAGTCAAAAATATTTTTTTCTCAATGAGTACCAATTTATGGTCTTTTTTTATATAGCGCAAAAAATAAAAAATGCACAGGCTGTCATAATACCACCAAAAGAAAGCTCTGTTTGTGGGGAAAAAAAGGACGCAAATTTCATTTGGATGCAGTGTTGCATGACTGCGCAATTGTCAGTTAAATTAACGCAGCGCCGTAACGCAAAAAATGGTCTGGTGAGGAAGGGGGGTAAATCCTCTGGAGGGCAAGTCATTTAAGTGGATAGGGATCAGTAAGTTTAGAAACTTCAAGATTGTTGAGATTAATAGGAGGAGGCTAGAAATAATTGAAATACAATGTGGAAATGAATATACAGATAAGATTTTACATTTTGACGATACATACGCTTTAAGCTGTAAGAGTGAATGAAAGTTCCATTTAACATGACTGGCTGTGTAAAGTCTGATGGCCTGTAGAACATTGAGTAAATCACTGTGAGCCTTGTTTGTGCATGTATGAGTCTACATTTGTAGAAAGCTACCACCAATTACTGTGTCTGCAATCCCTGTCCATGCCTTTTACAGCAAAAGCACTAGAATTTTAAAGCAGATATATTACAATTATCTTTTGTGGTGTCACGTTGAAGTCACACCTGTAATTTTCTCGTGAGTGATTCAGAGATGTTAAACTGAGGAAAAGGTATGGTTAGTGGTAATATCACCAACATATTTCAATATTACAAGTTCTTAGGTGTTAAAACATTTGCGTGTTTGTTAAACATTACAAAACACACTTTTATATAACAAATTATATTTAACCATAGTGCATGCGTGCATCACTGCAGAAAAAGGACTGCAGTTACTAAGGCAGAGTGGTGGTCCTAAAGCAGTGGTAGTACCAGGAGCTTCTGCCAGAATATCCAAAAATACACAGCATATTTGCACATTATAACACACTTACCTTGCAAACTGCCCTGTTCTGGCAACGCAACGTCTGCGCTTCCCCTTTATCACTGTGTTTGCCTGCACTTCCATATTCTCCCAGTCTCCTTCCAGATCCAGAGCCTTGGCCATCTTACCCACATGGAAGAAAAATATATTTTAGTGGCTTTTGTTAAATATATTTTAAAAATATTCTTCCCAAATATATTGACATACAGTGTGGGGCAAAAAAAGTATTTAGTCAGCCACCAATTGTGCAAGTTATTCCCACTTAAAAAGATGAGAGGCCTGTAATTGGCATCATAGGTAGACCTCAACTATGAGAGACAAAATGAGAAAAAAATTCAGACAATCACATTGGCTGATTTGGAAAGAATTTATTTGCAAATTATGGTGGAAAATAAGTATTTGGTCAATATCAAAAATTCATCTCAATACTTTGTTATATATGGTCTTTGTTGGCAATGACAGAGGTCAAACGTTTCCTGTAAAGTCTTCACAAGGTTGGCACACACTGTTGCTGGTATGTTGGCCCATTCCTCCATGCAGATCTCCTCTAGAGCAGTGATGTTTTGGGGCTGTCGCTGGGCAACACGGACTTTCAACTCCCTCCAAAGGTTTTCTATGGGGTTGAGATCTGGGAGACTGGTTTAGGCCACTCCAGGACCTTGAAATGCTTCTTACGAAGCCACTCCTTCGTTGCCCGGGCGGTATGTTTGGGATCATTGTCATGTTGGAAAGACCCAGCCACGTTTCATCTTCAATGCCCTTGCTGATGGAAGGAGGTTTGCACTCAAAATCTCACGATACATGGCCCCATTCATTCTGTCCTGTACATGGATCAGTCGTCCTGGTCCCTTTGTGGAGAAACAGCCCCAAAGCATGATGTTGCCATCCCCATGCTTCACAGTAGGTATGGGTGTTCTTTGGATGCAACTGAGCATTCTCTCTGCTCCAAACACGACAAGTTGTTGTTTACCAACCAAACAGTTCTATTTTGGTTTCATCTGACCATATGACATTCTCCCAATCCTCTTCTGGATCATTCAAATGCTCTCTAGCAAACTTTAGACGTGCCCAGACATGTACTGGCTTAAGCAGGGGGACACGTCTGGCACTGCAGGATCTGAGTCCCTGGCCTGGCGGCGTAGTGTGTTACTGAGGGTAGCCTTTTGTTACGTTTGGTCCCAGCTCTCTGCAGGTCATTCACTAGGTCCCCTCATGTGGTCCTGGGATTTTTGCTCACCAATCTTGTGATCATTTTGACCCCATGGGATGAGATCTTGCGTGGAGGGCCCAGATCGAGGGAGATTATCAGTGGTCTTGTATGTCTTCCATTTTCTAATTATTGCTCCCACTGGTTGCCTATTGCAGATTCAGTCTTCCCAGCCTGGTGCAGGTCTACAATTTTGTTTGGGTCATCTGGTGTCCTTCGACAGCTCTTTGGTCTTCACCATAGTGGAGTTAGGAGTGTGACTGTTTGAGGTTGTGGACAGGTGTCTTTTATACTGATAACAAGTTCAAACAGGTGCCATTGATACAGGTAATGAGTGCAGGACAGAGGAGCCTCTTAAAGAAGAAGGTACAGGTCTGTGAGAGCCAGAAATCTTGCTTGTTTGTAGGTGACCAAATACTTATTTTCCACCATAATTTGCAAATAAATGCTTTCCAAATCAGCCAATGTGATTGTCTGGATTTTTTTTTATTCTCATTTTGTCTCTCATAGTTGAGGTCTACCTATGATGCCAATTACAGGCCTCTTTCATCTTTTTAAGTGGGAGAACTTGCACAGTTGGTGGCTGACTAAATACTTTTCTGCCCCACTGTATATTTGAAATGCTGCAATTTTGGCCATATTCAATATATTTATAAAAATATATATATATATATATATATATATATATATATATATATATATATATATATAAAATGTTGAAATGCATTTTTATTACAAAATATATGAAAAATATTTTTAAAAATACATTGCTAATGTACTGTATGTCTATAAAAATACAAATTTACATTTTTGGAATGCATTTACAAATATATGTAAAAATATATGTTAAAATTACTTTTTTATATGTTAAAAAAAATCAAAAGAATATATTTAAAAAAATATTCTTCCCAAATACATTGACATATATTTGAAATGCTACAATTCTGCCCATATTCAATATATTTCAAAATATATTTCAATATATATGTGTGTGTGTGTGTGTGTGTGTTAAAAAAAATCTGAAGAGTATATTTTTTAAAAATATATTTTTTAAAATATATATATTTTTTTAAAATATATTCTTCAGATTTTTTTTTAACATATACTAAAGTCACTTTAACATATATTTTTACATATATTTGTAAATGCATTCCAAAAATGTAGATTAGGATTTTTAAAGACATACAGTATATCTGAAATTTATTTTTAAAAATATTTTCATATATTTTGTAATAAAAACACAATTCAGCATCATACAGTATATATATACAGTTGTGTTCAAAATAATAGCAGTCAGACATCACTAACCTGATCAATCACTGTTTTTGGTAGAAATGATATTTCTACATGGCAAATAATTTACAAGCAGGTGTAGTAGAGTAATAAAAATCCAACAGACCCAACAGTCATGACATGCATGCTGCTGATTCTGTGTAATTGAATCACTAATTGAAAGGGGCATGTTCAAAATAATAGCAGTGTGGAGTTCTATTAGTGAGGTCATTCATTCATCTTTGAAAAACAGGTGGCAATTATTGCCCTTATTTAAGGAAGGAAGGCAGCAACTGTTGTACATGCTGGTTACAGTACATTTCTCTCTGAAATTCTGAGGAAAATGGGTCGTTCCAGACATTGTTCAGAAGAACAGCGTACCTTGATTAAAAAGTTGATTGGAGAGGGGAAAACATAAAGAAGTGCAGAAAATGATAGGCTGCTCAGCTAAAATGATCGCAAATGCTTTAAAATGGCAACCAAAACCTAAAAGACGTGGAAGAAAGCAAAAAACTACCATTCGAATGGATAGAAGAATAGCAAAAATGGCAAGGACTCAGCCAACAATCAGCTCCAGGAAGATCAAAGAAGGTCTAAAGTTACCTGCGAGTACTGTTACAATTAGAAGACGCCTATGTGAAGCCAAGCTATCTGCAAGAAGCCCCCGCAAAGTCCCACTGTTGAAAAAAATATGTGCTGAAGAGGTTACAATTTGCCAAAGAGCACATTGACTGGCCTCCTAAAGAGAAATGGCGCAACATTTTGTGGACTGATGAAAGTAAGATTGTTCTTTTTGGGTCTAGTGGCCGGAGACAGCTTGTCAGACGACCCCCAAACACTGAATTCAAGCCACAGTACGCTGTGAAGACAGTGAAGCATGGTTGTGCAAGCATCATGATATGGGGATATTTCTCATACTACAGTGTTGTGCCTATTTATCACATACCAGGGATCATGAATCAGTTTGAATACATCAGAATACTTGAAGAGGTCATGCTGCCTTATGCTGAAGAGGAAATGCTCTTGAAATGAATGTTCCAACAAGACAACAACCCCAAACACACCAGTAAACGTGCAACATCTTGGTTCCAGACCAACAAGATTGACGTTATGGAGTGGCCAGCCCAATCCCCGGATCTTAATCCAATAGAAAACTTGTGGGGTGACATCAAAAATGCCGTTTCTGAGGCAAAACCAAGAAATAGAGAAGAACTGTGGAATGTAGTCCAATCATCCTGGGCTGGAATACCTGTTCACAGGTGCCAGAAGTTGGTTGACTCCATGCAACACAGATGTACAGCAGTTCTCGGAAACAGTGCTTATACAACTAAATATTAATTAAGTGATTCAAAGGAAAGCAAAATCTTCAAACATTTTTCAGTTTATATAGTGAATGTTTGAGTTTGTAAAGAAGAATACAAACACTGCTATTTTTTTGAACAGTCTAATATTCACTTTTCTTCAATTTTTTTAGAGGAACAACACAAATTTGATCTATTTTTCTTCATGTTTTGGTTTGGAATAGAATGTGTAGTGTTCCCAATGCATTTGTGTGTATGGAAATAAAACCTATTAGAAGGATTTTGAGCTTTCTTCACTTTTTTCAACACATTGCTATTATTGTGAACACAACGGTGTATATACAGTATATATATATATATATATATATATATATATATATATATATATATTTAATATATTTTTAAATATATTGAATATGGCCAAAATTGTAGCATTTCAAATATATGTCAATATATTTGGGAAGAATATTTTTTAAATATATTTCAAATATATTTTTCTTCCATGTGAGTTATTGGTGCAGGTAGGGAGTTACTTTGTTCTGGCACTTGGCAAATATTGTACACTGAGCTGAAAATGCCTGACTGTTAGGCCTCGTACACCATATGTGCAGAAAAACTGATGGAAACTGACATGCAGATTTCACTTGCAAAAACATCAGTTTACATCAGTTTTCATGTGCGCTTCATTGAGTTTTATACACGTTGCAGATCCCTACATGGAAAAAAATCTGCATGTGATACTAGTGTTGTGGTGTGAACAGGGCACATCGAGAACCACTGATTTCATTGTGGCCTTGCAGAACACGTGCAGAAAAACAGACGACTCTGCACCATGGTGTGAACGAGCCCTTAGTGTACAACAAATAAAAAACTACAGGGGAGAAAACGTAACCACTTGTGCTCTTTGTGCTTACCCTCTTTGTGACCAGGGCATTGTTTTTTTGGCTATTCGGCACTGCTCTACTTTAACTGGTAATTGTGCAGTCATGGAACACTGTACCCAAATGTAATTTATATAATTTTTTCATTCAAATAGAGCTTTCTTTTGGTGGTATTTGATCACCACTGGGTTTTTTATTTTTTATTATAGATCGAAAATAGATAGAAAAAGGTTGAACATTTTGAGAAAACAATACAGTATTTTCTGTTATAAAACATATCCATATATTTGAAAATTGATTGGTCCTTCTATACTCATGACCTATCTCATTTCTTGAGGCCCTAAAATACCAGGAGAATATAAATACCCCCCAAGTGACTCCTTGGAATGTAGGCAGTCTGAGGTATTTAGTAAGAGGCATGGTGAGTTTTTTGAAGTTGTAATTTTCAGTCACAGTTTTTTTTCACATTCTGTTTTTACAAACTGTCATCAGTGCAGTAGAGAGTCATCATCATGATATGAATGTGTTTTAAAATTTTGCAAACAAATAATCTTTGTTCATAAATGTAGGCCAAAATGTAATCTGCTACATTTCTTTGGTAAACATAACCAAAATCAGTGTATATTATTTAGTCTGTGTGAAAACAATAGAGTCTACAAACTATGGTATATGTATTTGAAAATGTATCGGTTTTGACTTACTGAAACTTATATCATTTATTGAGGCCAGGACCATACAAATAAGCCCCAAATGACCTTTTTTGGAAAATAGACAGACTAGGGTATTTAGTAAGAGGCATGTTGAAGTTTTAATTTTTTTTTCATATTTTTTGGAAAATGAAGAAATTAACCACTAGCCTACAGGGCACTTATACCCCCTTCCTGCCCAGGCCAGTTTCCAGCTTTAAGCTCTGTCACATTTTGAATGACAATTGCGCGGTCATGCAACACTGTACCCATATGAAATTTTTTGCATTTTTTTTTAGACAGATAGAGCTTTCTTTTGGTGGTATTTAATCACCTCTGGGATTTTTTTTTTCTTAAAGAAACCAAAAACCACTGAAAATTTTGAAAAAAAAAAACATTTTTCTTAGTTTTTGTTATACAATTTTGTAAATAAGTGATTTTTCGCCTTCACTGATGTGCGCTAATGAGGCTGCAGTTATGGGCACTGATAAGCTGCACTGATGGACACTGATAGGTGGCACTGATGAGGAGGCACTGGCAGGTTGCACTGATGGGCATTGACAGGCATCACTGATGGGCACTGAAAGGCAGCACTGATACATGACACTGATATATGGCACTGATAGGCGGCACTGATAGGCGGCACTGACTAGCACTCTTAGGGCAGCACTGACTGGCACTGTTAGGCAGCACTGACTGGCACTGATAGGCGGTACTGACCGGCACTGATAGGTGGCACTGATAGGCGGCACTGATGCGCACTGATAGGTGACACTGATTGGCACTGATAGGTGGCACTGATTGGCACTGATAGGTGGCACTGACTGGCAGCACTGATAGGTGGCACTGATTGGTATTGATAGGTGGCACTGACTGGCACTGATGGGTGACATTGAAAGGCAGTTCAGATGGGCACTGATATGTGGCATTGATGTGCACTGGTATGCACTGATATGTGGCATTGATGTGGCACTGATGGGCACTGGCACGTGGCACTGATGAGCACTGACTGCTGCTAGCACTGATGGAAACTGGGGCCACACTAATCATCAGTGCCCTGATGATCAGTGTACATGTCCCCTCCGCGGAAAGCCGATTACCGGCTCCCCTCTCCTCTCGAGCTGTTAGCGTGACAGCTCGAGAGGAGAGACATCTTTGGCTCTTTCCGTGATCAGCTGTGTCCGAGGGACGCAGCGCGCACCGGCGATCGCCGTGCTGCGCGCTCCCTGAGCCGCGCATGCACAATGAGAATGGAATGGGACGTCATATGACATCCTATCAGAACGAGAGAACCACCTTGCGCTTGTCATTGTACTATATGGCGGGCGGAAGGTGGTTAAATAACATGTTTTTTTCACTATTTTTTTTAACATACTGTCACTATTGCAGTGTCATCATATGACTGGTGTTGCAGTGATCAGGTATACTGACTGCTGACAGTATGTAAAAAAAAAAAAAAATATATATATAATATATATATATATATATATATATATATATATATATATATATACAGTCAGGTCCATAAATATTGGGACATCGACACAATTCTAACATTTTTGGCTCTATACACCACCACAATGGATTTGAAATGAAACAAACAAGATGTGCTTTAACTGTAGACTGTCCGCTTTAATTTGAGGGTATTTACATCCAAATCAGGTGAACGGTTGTAGGAATTACAACAGTTTGCATATGTGCCTCCCCTTTTTAAGGGACCAAAAGTAATGGAACAATTGGCTTCTCAGCTATTCCATTGCCAGGTGTGTGTTATTCCCTCATTATCCCAATTACAATGAGCAGATAAAAGGTCCAGAGTTCATTTCAAGTGTGCTGTTTGCATTTGGAATCTGTTGCTGTCAACTCTCAAGATGAGATCCAAAGAGCTGTCACTATCAGTGAAGCAAGCCATCATTAGGCTGAAAAAAACAAAACAAACCCATCCGAGAGATAGAAATAACATTATAAGATATCTTCCTGCGCCTAGTGAGACACTCTACTACCAGGTACTATCCTGCTGCTGTGCAATTTGAACAACACAAATATATGAAAAAATAAAATAACAGCGCAAAACATAGACCTCTACATAAAATCAAAAATCAAAAAAGTGCAAAAAAATTTTTTGTAAAACAAAATTACAATTTAAATGGTGCAGTCCATCAAATTCTTATATAAATAGTGAAATCCATCAAAATAAACTAAAGTTCAAAAATATTCAAAAATATATGTGCAAAAAAAGAAAAAAAGGAAAGAAATCTTTTCACATTCTTCTTGTAAAGAAACTTCCACCTTCCACCCGTGAAAACCAATATCAAATGCACTCACCAGATATAGGTGAATAAAAAACGCCTTTTAGGAATTTTATGGGATCCTACACCCTCTTTCGTATCCACTCTATAGGAATCCTCTCCTCCAACATGGGCTCCACCATCCGACCAGGGAGAAAAAAATCTCAAATAGTGTGATATTGTAAGACACCATTTCATATGTGAAATCAAGGATTAAGGCCACTCACATTAATTTCACTTTAAAAAGGCATATTTATTAAGGCAAGCTTCTCTCCAGATGAACAGTAGATGCAAGGTAACCTCTCACAGAATCTCACATCACAGTCCCAGGTTCCAGCAGAAGCTCCACAGAGACCACACATATATAAATCCCACAAAGATGGCCGCTGGAACGCACCACTCAGCGTGCGCTCCACTCACCGGAAGTGACGTCGGACATGCAAAATAAAACCGGAAATGCGTCAACGCGTTTCGCCCCTCCCACAGGGCGTTCTCTCAAGACAATCATTTCCTGTTTGAAGCTCCCTTATATACCCAACTGGGACCCACCCCTCCGTTGTGATAGGTCTAAACCCTCCCCGGGATTATCAAAACAAACCACTCCTCCTGTGATGTAACGTGAGAATCCTTTACACATGAGGTCTATGCCTACATAATTCAGAATACTTATTAGAACCATTAGATTATCTCCCAAAAGCGACATGTGTAAACCACATGCCACCAGTGGGAAAACACGAATGTATTTTAAATTTTAAAACAATACCTCAAAAATACAAAAACTTTCTTTAATAAATAAGCAATGAAATGACAATTTTAAAATTAAAATAAAATAATTTATGAAGAAGAATCTAATAAAAATAAAAATAAAAATAAAAAATGAAATATAAAATATAATAAAAATAAAAATAAAAAATAAAAATAAAAATAAAAATAAAAATAAAAATAAAAATAAAAATGAAAATAAAAAAATAAAAATAAAAATAAAAATAAAAATGAAAAAATGAAAAAAAATAAAAATAAAAATAAAAAATAAAAAATAAAAATAAAAATAAAATAAAAATAAAAATAAAAAAGAAGGAACGCACCGGTGAGCTCAGCAACACCAAAAGACCGGAAGACCACGGAAAACAACTGTGGTGGATGATCGAAGAATTCTTTCCTTGGTGAAGAAAACACCCTTCACAACAGTTGGCCAGATCAAGAACACTCTCCAGGAGGTAGGTGTATGTGTGTCAAAGTCAACAATCAAGAGAAGACTTCACCAGAGTGAATACAGAGGGTTCACCACAAGATGGAAACCATTGGTGAGCCTCAAAAACAGGAAGGCCAGATTAGAGTTTGCCAAACGACATGTAAAAAAGCCTTCACAGTTCTGGAACAACATCCTATGGACAGATGAGACCAAGATCAACTTGTACCAGAGTGATGGGAAGTGAAGAGTATGGAGAAGGAAAGGAACTGCTCATGATCCTAAGCATACCACCTCATCAGTGAAGCATGGTGGTGGTAGTGTCATGGCGTGGGCATGTATGGCTGCCAATGGAACTGCTTCTCTTGTATTTATTGATGATGTGACTGCTGACAAAAGCAGCAGGATGAATTCTGAAGTGTTTCGGGAATATTATCTGCTCATATTCAGCTAAATGCTTCACAACTCATTGGACGCCGCTTCACAGTGCAGATGGACAATGACCCAAAGCATACTGCAAAAGCAACCAAAGAGTTTTTTAAGGGAAAGAAGTGGAATGTTCTGCAATGGCCAAGTCAATCACCTGACCTGAATCCGATTGAGCATGCATTTCACTTGCTGAAGACAAAACTGAAGGGAAAATGCCCCAAGAACAAACAGGAACTGAAGACAGTTGCAGTAGAGGCCTGGCAGAGCATCACCAGGGATAAACCCAGCGTCTGGTGATGTCTATGCATTCCATACTTCAAACTGTAATTGACTGCAAAGGATTTGCAACCAAGTATTAAAAAGTGAAAGTTTGATTTATGATTATTATTCTGTCCCATTACTTTTGGTCCCTTAAAAAGTGGGATGCACATATGCAAACTGTTGTAATTCCTACACCGTTCACCTGATTTGGATGTAAATACCCTCAAATTAAAGCTGACAGTCTTCAGTTAAAGCACATCTTGTTTGTTTCATTTCAAATCCATTGTGGTGGGTGTAAAGGGCCAAAAATGTTAGAATTGTGTCGATGTCCCAATATTTATGGACTGACTGTATATACAGTGGGGATCGAAAGTTTGGGCACCCCAGCTAAAAATGTGTATTAATGTGCATAAAGAAGCCAAGGAAAGATGGAAAACTCTCCAAAAGGCATCAAATTACAGATTAGACATTCTTATAATATGTCAACAAAAGTTAGATTTTATTTCCATCATTTACACTTTCAAAATAACAGAAAACAAAAAAATGGCGTCTGCAAAAGTTTGGGCACCCTGCAGAGTTAATATCTTGTACTGCCCCCTTTGGCAAGTATCACAGCTTGTAAACGCTTTTTGTAGCCAGCCAAGAGTCTTTCAATTCTTGTTTGAGGTATCTTTGCCCATTCTTCCTTACAAAAGTCTTCCAGTTCTTTGAGATTTCTGTGCTGTCTGTCACGCACTGCTCTTTTAAGGTCTATCCATAGATTTTCAATTATGTTGAGGTCAGGAGATTGTGAAGGCCATGGCAAAACCTTCAGTTTACGCCTCTTGATGTAATCCCCCGTGGATTTCGAGGTGTGTTTAGGATCATTATCCATTTGTAGAAGCCATTCTCTCTTTAACTTCAGCTTTTTCACAGATGGCATCAAGTTACCATCCAAAATTTGCTGAAAGTTTATTGAATCCATTTTTCCTTCTACTCGTGAGATGTTCCCTGTGCCACTGGCTGCAACACAACCCCAAAGCATGATTGATCCAACCCCATGCTTAGCAGTTGGACAGAGGTTCTTTTCATTAAATTCTGTGCCCCTTCTTCTCCAAACGTACCTTTGCTCATTCCGGCCAAAAAGTTCAATTTTAACCTCATCGGTCCACAGAACTTGTTTCCAAAATGCATCAGCTTGTCTATATGTTCATTTGCAAAGTTCAAACGATGATTTTTGTGGTGAGAGAACGTAGAAGAGGTTTTCTTCTGATGACTCTTCCATGAAGACCATATTTGTACAAGTATCTCTTTATAGTGGAATAGTGTACCACAACTCCAGTGTCTGCCAGATCTTTCTGGAGGGATCATGCAGTCAAACGTGGGTTTTGAATTGTTTTTCTCACAATCCTGCGAGCTGTTCTGTCTGATATTTTTCTTGGTCTTCCAGATGTTGCTTTAACTTCCACTGTTCCTGATGACTGCCATTTCTTAATTACATTCCGAACAGAGGATATTGACATCTGAAAACGCTTTGCTATCTTCTTATAGCCTTCTCCAGCTTTGTGAGCGTCAACTATTTTCAGTTTCAGTTTTCTAGACAACTGCTTAGAAGAACCCATGGTGCTGATTGTTGGGGCAAGGTCAGATGAGTCTGGGCATTTAAAACCTTTGAGATTGACATCACCTGGTCTTCCCAGACGATAATTGAGAACAATCCATGACACTGGCAGGTCTCTGCTTTGCAAAGGGGGCAGTGCATGCTATCAATTCTGCAGGGTGCCCAAACTTTTGCAGACACCATTTTTTTGTTTTCTGTTATTTTGAAAGTACAAATGATGGAAATAAAATCTAACTTTTGTTGACATATTATAAGAATGTCTAATCTGTAATTTGATGCCTTTTGGAGATTTTTCCATCTTTCCTTGGCTTCTTTATGCACATTAATATAAATTTTTAGCTGGGGTGCCCAAACCTTCGATCCCCACTGTATATATATATATACACGTGTGCG